CCTAAGATTAATTTGGCGGGTAACAGTCGCGACCGCGAGCTTCCTTTTGAACATCGCAAAAGAGCGCGACGCTATAAACAATGTACACTACCGTTCAAAAGTTTCATCGCATCCGTTAAAACGCAGCAAAAACTGAAAGTAACTATAGGAAGAAAAAACAAAGTGAATTAGGCAAGAATGATACACTTCACTCTGTTAAGTTCGATATAAAACTTTGCATTTGATAAACTCTATTGAAATTTCATTATTTCATTGAATGAAATGAATTAAATTACATTGTTTCTTTGCGTTCTGCGACTAAACTTATGAAAGGTAGGGTACAGGGCCGCATTTCTAAGTACTTTTGGAAGCCCTAGGTGCAACATCATTACGAGGCCTAAAAGGAACATGTCTATATTAGTTAATTAGATTCATACACATGTTTTTTTAAGTTTATTGAAAATAAAAATCAATTATTTCAGTGAAATAAAAATAACACAACATTGGAATCCGTATAATTGCATTAACCCCTTAGCCTATGATTACTTTTCTGACTAAGCACCTAAGCGTGAGCTATTTACCGTTTTAGTATTGTATCAGGTAACAAAAGCTAATTTGTTACAGATTAATTACATCTAATAATCCTCAGTCTTACAAATTAAAACGAAAGTTAGGATTACAATGAATTTTTCTTACTAATATAACTATTTTTCTCATATCTTCACCAGAATCTCTGCCGCGAGTCTGATACGTTGTCATATGTTAAGGGGTTAAAAGAAAAGTATAAAAATAAATCAGTTCAAATTTACTCTTGCGACCAAACGTTTTATCGTCTTTGCACTTCTGATAGTAGAAGTGTCCGAGCTGCATAGGATATTCTGAGATCCTTCTAGACGACACTTAACATTTGGTCTGTAGAAATTACCATTGATATCGACCTCTTGATGAATAACGGACCCTCGTAAATTTCGCGTTTCCGTTTTCAGCGACCTCTCGTTTTTATATTGTGAATTTAATATTTAAAAAGAAGTACTTTATTTTGCAACTATAACTAGGCTGCTTTTTATATTGTTGTTTGTGGATAGTAAGGTTTTAAAATGTGACCCCGTAGAGAGTGAGGCCGCAGCTTGCGCCTAAGACGCCTTATGACAAATGCGGCCCTGGTAGTGTGTATGATTTTTGTTGAGTAAATATCGTTCTGTTAGGCGATCTACCAAGTCTGTTTCGCGACAACACCGACGAAGGACGAAGAAAGCGTGGCTGCGTAGAAGCCTGCATCATGCAGGGTCTTGGTCTGGTACGTGCAGTTTCATTCTACTTAATCTACTTATTAGACACAGAGAATTCATCGAGTCGAGTAGTGAGAAAAATCTTCTATTTTACCAACAAAGATTGGTACATATTGTGATTTTTAAAAGGAGTAAAAAATTTTCGAAATAGAATTAGTGTAATTTAACCCTTTCGCTACGGCAGATTTTAACGCGTAACGTGGGTGACTGGCGGTAAATTATAAACCACGACTGGAAAATTTGTTATTTTGGCCGTATCGTTCTGAAATTCGGTTTATTAAATTAAGGTGAAAGCACGTAAAAGATGAAATTAAGTATTAAATTAAGGTGGAAGTGCACCGAAAGGCTCTAACAGTGGAGTGCGAGAAAATTTTGCGCCAATAGTGAAGAAAGGGTCAATAAACAGAAAAGAACTATTTCTAATCACTTTAACGAACTTTAAATAAATTTGTAATCTATGTCAATTATGGTGTTATATTTTTCGAGTCTTCAGTAGTGAGAAGAATTTTATATTCTGCCCGAACATTGCTACATACTGTGATTTGTAAAAGGAATAGAAAATTTTCAAAATAGAATTAGTGAAATTTAATAAAAGAGGAAAACAAACATTTGTAACCACTTTAGTAAACTTCAAATAAATTCTCAATCTTCGTCAGTTTTATATTATATTAAAATTGAAAGATGATTTTTAATTATAGAATTACTCTTGAATTATTTCTCAGCTTATTTTTCGTAAATTTCATCCCCTCGGATTATACTTTCCAATCTAAAAAAAAAAAAAATAGAAAGGAGACCTTTCTTCATACATTTCACACACTTCGTTTCGTTAATGGTTTCCAAGTGAAAGATGAACGTTTTCAAAAGAATTTCTCTTCTGAGATGTTTAATTTTTCAGTATAGTAGAAAAATACACCGCTGACAACAAACTCGAGATCACTAATGCATAGCAAGAATTTTCTTTTAAATTCAGATGAACGGAAACGTCATTGATATGCAGAAAATCAGTGAACAAATTGACAAAGTGATAGATGACGACGAAAAGAAGGAGAGCGCACGCAAAGCTGTACAGGAGTGTGTAGATGAAGGTAAATAGATAACACACATCGTAACACAATAACGAAAATCCGTCATCAGTCGCTCAATTATACAATTTAATAGTAAATTATGTAAAATAAGCTGCATCCATTTTAGCTAATTTCTCATAAGTCGTAAACAATCTCTCTAACTTCAATCAATCAACCAAATACGCAATATTATTTTTTATAACAGTTTCTACACGGAACACAATGTTATAACATTTTTATTAATCCTTTGCACTCGAGTGATATTTCAACATTTCCTTCCATCAACTTTTAATAATAATTATAAACATAATATGTCAGGAAAAATTTACGATTACCTTTCCGCTGAAAAAACGAAACGTTAGATTTTTTTGCAAAATTATCAAATTTTACATTTTAGTGAAATTTAATAGAAATTTCAACGTTGATTTGTGGATTTTTTAAATTGTGAAATATCGGAATGAATGCTCATGCCTAGTATAACTGGCATATCTGATATTGTTCCGTCGCGCAGGTACGGAACGCAGGGGGTCTTCGGTGACCGGGTTTATGGCACGCTCGCACGAG